TTTAAATAAATAAATAATTGCACTAGAAAGGTTCAAACTCCATCCCACTAGTGTCTTGCGTAACCAAGGTTTTTGGGACCGGTTAGGTTTGGTCGGTTGAACCGGACCTGAGCTTAAAAACAGGTCGGTTGCATACCTCAACCCGTTTTGACCTACTAAAAATTGCCCCACCCGCTAGGCCTACTAGATTCGTGTTGCCCACTCCGAGCCCACTCCAATCAGCTAGGCTAAATTAAACTTTGCAAAACCTAGAATAGAGCAACCACCGACCATTGACTAGCTCCGAATCCCAAGTCTCAGATGCTTAGCCACCTTCGTCGGTGGCTCCATAGCTCATCGTCCAACCCTTCACCGCTCACCTTTGGCTTCTTCCTCCACTTGATAGAAGCAGCAAAGCAAAACACCTCTGTCGGTGACTCCACAGCTCATTGTCTAGCCCATCACCTCTCACCTTCGGCTCCTTGCTCCATTGGACAAAAGTAGCAAAGCAAAACACCTCTGTCGACGGCTCTACAGCTCACCATCCAACCTATCATCGCTCACCTTCAGCTTCATCCTCCACTGGACAAAAACAATAGCACAAAACAAAATAGAATCAACAGATGTGCCTTACTCCGCCACCTATCACCTCCTTCTCCTTCCTCCACCAAACAAAAACAGTAAAGAAAAACAAAAATTACAAAACAGATCATCCCCCAAAAGCACTAATAGGACAGTTGCCTCATCTCCTCCGTTGCTTCCCTTCTTCTCTTGCCTTTATCGAACAAAACAAACAACAGAAATCAGACTTAGGCCTCATCTCCTCTGCAATAGCTCACCTTTTCAGTTTTACCTGTGTATTTTTAGTTGATTAGTTGGATCAGTCCAGTGAATTGATTCAATCGGTTGAACTGGATCCGATGGCCAAAATGAGTCAATCACCGTGCTAGGCCCAAAAACAATGCGCGTAACATTTGCCACCTCATGTGCGTAGCCCGTGTTGTGGGAAAAGATTCAAATATTGTTTTAAAAATCAGACCAAACCGACCAATCGAACTAGCACCCTATAACATAAACGAGACGAATAAGTGTTTAGAACCAATAGAGAGATTGAACCATTCAAACCAATGCAAATCATTAAAGCGTTCAACTGAATAGTTTAAAGTTTTTGGAAAATTCCCTTTAACTTTGCATCCTCCAAGGCTCGAACACAAGATTTAAATAAAACCTTCAGTTACTTCTACCACTAAGACATGACTTGTTGGTTGGGAAGGGTTTGCTTCACTTTTATTTATTTTACTTGTAGGAAGAAAAGAATGGCCTTCCGCACATCCAACTT